AACGGTAAAAAAAATGGAGAAATTCGCCCTCATTGAGGGAGATTCGCTTTGGTTGTTCTCACATGACTGTGGGCACCCTTGCTGGAGCGACAACAAAGATCGAACATCAATATTTTCGCATTAAATTCATTGATTTACTATCATTACAAAAAAGTATCGATTTCTGTAAGATATTTATTTCATCATATTTGAGCACCACATCGATTGAAACACTGGAAATTGAATAAATTCTAAATGTCCAGACGAGAGAGAGACAGAGAGAACTCACGTGCAGACACATTGAATACCCGTGATTGTGAAATCAAAATCAGAACAAGAACTGACCTGGAGTAATCAATTAATCAATATATATGTCGGAAATATCTGGTATGAAAATCAATACATCCATGATAGAGGTTGTGTAACGTGTCAACAATAATTGAACACTGTTCGACAATCAAATGAGCCAGCTATCACAATAAGCTATTACAGATGGCAGAGATAATTGAATATGGGATATATTTTCAGTAAATAGATATTAAAATATATGTTAATGTGATCATAAATGAAATCAATAACGTCGATAATGTCGCCGACGAATTTCCATTACAGTAATCCGCATAGCACGTGCACACATCAATCGTGGACTCATCGACCTGATCACCGCCTAATTTGAACAGCTCCTTTTTCCTTAAATCAAAATATTAATTATGAAAATCTTTGGAAATAATAATGCCTTCTTGTCTATACCAATTCTTGGTAAAAGAACTCAAATAACATCAAAATAACCCCAACCTGGACGAAGGTTCATCCTACAGGGCGACTAGGCCCCTTAAACGACCTTCAAATTAAATTTAAAAAGTTTTCTTACAAGTTTCCACTGCTGCACACCAAACTACATCTGCAATATTTTCAACTGACAAAATGCAAAAACTTCGCAGCGAGCAGGATTCGAACCTGCGCGGGCAGAGCCCAATTGATTTCGAGTCAATCTCCTTAACCACTCGGACATCGCTGCCAAGCCGTTTCCCGAGAGGGGCTATTTACTCTTCGCCCGCGAACGGCTGAGCGCTGAATACATTGATTGGGGAAGTGTTGTAAACAAATGCAACCTTTGGTATTTCCGCCGTGAAATGGCCGAATCCCATTCAAACGTTTCTCGACTAGTGAACAGTAAATTATAAAGCGACAAGCATAGGAGCGTACACTAGGTGTTGTGACTGTCTTAAGGATACGCCGAGCATTTTACTTCTTTCCTATGACGTAGAATTGTTTGAGTGTGTGCTTGGTCTAAACAGTGAATCAGGAAGTCCAATAGGGTTGAAGCCTCTTTTGTTAATCGCAAATACCAGTTTAGAAGCAATTAACGGCCGCGAAACGCTGGTAAGAGCTTTTCTCCACGCAGAGCGGCTATTCCGTTCTACCTACAATCGCGAAATCAGAGTCTTCCGCCCTAAAGGGCAATCTGACGAATTGTTGGTCTATTCACCTAAGGTTGAACCATTCCTAACTTCATCATCTCAATTTTGCTTTTTTCTGTTGTCAGGAACGCTCAATTTTCACTCGGTCGATGACACTTCTGAACCTAATCGGGGCGGGTTTACAACTTTCTATGGATCTTACACGAATACCAAGCTGCAAAGAAAACGGTTATGTTGACGTCAGCCAGATCTTAACAGTCCGTATCATTTGGGTCCCCACACCCAAAGATGTTCCGCCTACCAACTACAAACACTTCTTGGAACCAACGAATCACTGATGCTGGGACGCGCGAGCGAAGTGCGCTATGAATTTCGCGACAAACACACACACACAGACCTACACACACAGACATACTTAGCGATTATATAATAGTAGGATTTGACGTCGCCCGGAACCAACCCATATGGTACAACGTTTTAGGCGCAGCCCCATTGGCACCAGCCTGCGAAATCAGGTTTTACCTATGACATGTGTCCAACCGAGCATCAAACTCGCGTGGCCAACCATCACTATCTGGCTGTCACAATGGTTGATGATGCATTGTTAGGACTGGGTCAGTGACTTCGGCCCTCTTTTCACAAAATACTCAGAGACACTTCTTCGCGAGTCATATAGCGATTTTGGCCCCCTTATTTGTAAAAAAAATGTTCCGATAATTTACCTAATATCTCACTTCTTAAGTTTTGAAACCATTAGTTGGCAAGCCTCTTTGCAGACATACATATCATTTCACTTCCTTGACTTTGACCACACTCCTTTTCCAACTGGCTCAGTCGTTAATAGTCAATTTCACTTCAGTTTGATTTTATTCAGCTTAAGTTTCTTTGTTTAATTTCGAGATTCCCCAACTAAGGTAAATGAAGTGAATAGTGGTTCCTTAATGACATTCGAGAAATACAGTCTTGAATTTGTTTGCATAGTTGTCGTGTTTACAGGCCAAAAGACGGATTCAATGCCCGAAGAGGTACCGAAAAAAATCGAATACACGTCCAGGTATAATTCACTGGAGGATTAGAAGAACTTGAATTTATAGAAGCTTTTTATCCAAAATGAGTGTATGGTAACTATGTAGTATTTTAGTTCGCAACCATTACGAAAAGAACAACATCGTATTCACCTGTACGGACGACAGGAGTCTCTTTGCATCCATCGATACCAGCTAACGAATGGTCTCGTTGAACCCTTTGATAAGCACGTCCTTCATGCATCCTCGATATGTAAAGCCTACCAATATACGAACGCCTGAAACATCCAAACCATCAAGTTCACTTGAATTTTCTAACGCTTGCATGCGCTGCCACCGTTATTTGCCTTATGTGCCACAAGAAAAGTGCCTACCTGCATATGAGGAGCCTCGTTACATCGACACACATATCTGCAGCAATGAACGGCTGGCACTCGTCCCTCGGCGAGCCGATCATCGTTACAGTCATCTGAATTTGATGGATTTCATGGGCTCTCTGAGACACATTGTTTTTCGATGATTTTATTTGTGATTTTCAATATGTATTTTCAGAGGTGTATTTATTGTTTGTTATCTGGGATTTTTAGAAAAATTCCAAAATTGTTATATAAAGGAATCGACAGATCAGTGGTAAGTTAGCTAATCGTAAGATATCGTAGGAGTACTGGTACTGATCTCACATGCGCTCTGCCAGTGAGTCTATTACTTTAATGTGTGATTTTCTTGTACCTGTGAAATTCCTCGGCCTCTTGTAGATATGTGATAACGACGGCCACACAGCTTCATATAACCGAGACATGCATGAGAAACACCGAGCACCGTCTGTAAAAACACCAAAGTATGCCAAAATTCGAAACACGTAATTTTATTTTTGAAGGAAATTTGCGTTCCCTTTGAGTTCCCATTAATTTCGAGCTTTTCAATGCAATCTACTTGTTTTTCCTATTCTCTTTTCACTCTTCAACCATATTTTTTATACGTTGTGATTGTGACCTTGTGACATTCCTTTCTAATTATAGCCCAGCACCTGCAACCTAGCGCTTTCTCGAATCAAAGGCATATTCCGCAAGTGAGCAGATGGGCCATTTGGTCCGGATATGGAAATTTCTGTGCTGACTGGTCGACCTGTGGTGAAAACAAGCGAAATAAAAGAACTGTTCAGAGCCTTCGAACGCGCATTACGTGCTGGTCGTATGGGAGTGGTGCGCTCCGCCTCCACGATCCTATCGGTTGGCACCAATATCTGTACCGTATTTTGTCCCGTATTTTACCACATTAGGAAATGTCTAACCAATGAGAGTCGCCTAGGGGCGGGGCGCAGACCCCACCCACACAATCGGCGCACTATGCAATGTGAAATATTAATAGCAGATTTTTTGGTTTTCTTCCATTACTGGTGGTCAAAGAACATCAACAGGTTCATTTCTGAGTGCGCAACCTACCTGTTCAAGCGCGAGATGTGCCTTGAGCTATGCTTAAAGTTACTTTGGCGCAGTGTTTTGTCCATACTTCAGCATCCTTGTGGTATGTTTCGAAACATTAAAGCTTTCTATGCCCCCAGTTTTATTAGTGACGAATAAAAGTTAGCGTGGTAAGGGTTCACCAAATAACACACAATGGTATAGGATTCTTGGAAACCTCAGCGAACTTAAACGAGCTCTCCCTCCCTTTCCTGAGGGTGTGTACGAGAACATCGTCTAGAAAACGGTTGTTTGTATGAGTTGTCGATTGTTGACATCACGTCAAATCCGGCGACAACACCTGTTTCCCATGTCAACACAACTTGTACACCTGTTATTTCTGGTCTATCGTGATTAATTGCAAGCCTCAACTGCCACGCGACGGTAGTCGCACAAGGGGTGTTACTTTCTGGGGACGGTGGTCTCTCATGCGCTCTGCTTCAGAAACTCGAGAAGCGCGTCGAGTGCAGACCACACACCACAAGTGACGACGGCCTCCAAGTAAATCTGGTTAGTAGTGATTCATAGTGATAGCTGATTTGACTAAATAATTGTAATTAGTGACAACTGATAGAATACAACTGCAATAGGCTAATCACTTCATTGGCAGAAAACATATACATATTGTAGTAGCCGTCGTTGTGGTGGTGTGTGGTCTGCGCTCAATAGGGATGGTTTTCTTCAAGCAGAGTATAGAGGGGTATGTAGGCCTGCTGGATCTAGTTTGTTTTTGTGGCCTATGAGCTCTCAGGGTTTAGAAGACTGCAAGCCGCGAAGGAGGTGAACTTCACATACAGAAAGGGGCGGAATCTGGGCAAGAGGTTTTCGTTGAAAGCTGCGTCAAGATCTTTCCGTCTCTTTTATTGCTATATTTTGCAACATACTCTATAAGAATTTAATTCAAATTTTTGTGGTATCGGAAAGAACCTTTGAGATAAAATGCCGATACCTTTGAGATAAGCCTCACCCAAGACCTGCGTCCGAACCGTGAGCGTTATTAGCAGGAGTATAACAAATATATCCCATTAGGAGCTGAGTTTGCGAAAAACTAGCTTCTCTTATGTAATTCTAAGTGCTATTGCCCCGAAATACACAAGGTCCAAGTTCGAGTCCGCTGAAAGGTTCAACCACCCCCCTTTCACTAATATATTCGCTCACAGTTTGCACCTCCTGCTTTTCTGGCCAAGTCAAATTGTGAGAAACTCATATTGGGGTGGGGAGGATAGTACGGAGAGGGGTTTTGGGACAGGTGCGACAACGAGCGGAATGTGGGAAGATACTTATCTTCCGAGATCAGTATGTTCATCTTACGTATAAGTTTCTATTTTCTCGATAGACTTATTGTTGGAATCAGGAAATAGTTGGGGAGTCCCAGTTTTTGAAGCCGGGAGCTAAAATTACTATGAAAATTTCACAAGGATCGATCAGAGTTCAGCGAGAAAATTTCGCATTCAGAGTTCGCGATTAAACGTCTAGGCGATTTAGCACGATTTAAATTCTGTACGTGCTTGACTGCGGAGCATAGCACGAGGTCACCGAGCGATGTCGCGTCCAACTGCTGTAAATTCGCCCAGCGGTACGGAATCTTTGGGTCTGCAAGATGCATCAACGTAAATTTGCAGCTTACCGAGCGCGGCAGTCGGTCGTCGCCAAACTGGCGCGCGATTTTGTCGCGTCATTGCGCGCGCGGCGCATCATTAATAATCCTTGCGCCACCTGATTCTCACAAGAAGAATGTTATAATGAAATAAATCAAAATCTCCATACAAAACTTATAATTACCCTTGAAAGGCATGCCGTTGTCGATGAATGGCATCTCGTTCAGAAAGGCTGTACAGATTTCGGCCGTAATAAGTAAAAAACCAATAAACATTGCATACTATGCCAGAGCGAAAGCCATTTGCACATACACGCACACAAAAGCGGCGCCTAGTCTGACTGAAGAGCTGCTGAGATTTATAAGGCTTCTGCAAATGGCACATAACAGTAAAGGAATTCAGACACGACATCGAACGGAAATCGGAAATCGGAAGCGGTTCGAAAGATAACGAGAAGTATGGAACTTTGGGTCGTGAATCAAATCAGAGTCGACAAAAAGACGGTCTTCAAAAAGACGTGTAAATGCGGTGTCATAATTATAGTACTAGGATGCGCTGCAGACGCGTTGCGTGCGTTTAGAGCTCTTGAAGAACAGACTTCGCTACCTAATGGCAGTCCAAAAACGCTGTATCAAGTAGCTAGTATCTTCGGCGCAATGTGGCTCGAGGGGGCCAGTCGCCGCGCGCGATCTCTGCGTTTTTCTGTGTAAGCATTTCCTCTTCGCTAAATCGGGACTAAGCCTCGGGCAGGGGAGGAGGAACTCCAGGATCATAGCAATTTTCATCTTCCCAAAGTTCCTGCCCACTCCTAGGCTTAGTACTACAGGGCGCGGACGAGCAGAGATCGCGCGCGGCGACTGGCCCCCCTCGAGCACATTGCGCCGTATCTTCAATTGTGAATTTCTATATCAACGCCTGTAAGCTCACAAGTTTAGGAGTAGTGAAGCTCTGACTGGGTCTCAATAAAGGGCACTAACTAAGGTATTATAACTGTGTCGGTCTATGTCACATACGCATCGCACACGCAACGCGTGATAAGGTTTCGTTTGGTAGAAGCCGCCATGCATGACGCGGTTTATTTTGATAGAACCACTACGTGTGATGCACAACGCGTCGCGCAGCGCACAGCGGCGAAGCAATGGTTTGCAGAATTTTGCTCGGTGACCGCAATGAAAAATACGCAGCAAATAGAGATTAGCTCAAATGGAACCAAAACACCCAGCGTACCGGCGACACAACAACAAGCGAAATTCTTCAAAAAATAATATTTCAGTGGGAATTTTAAGTTATCACGAGTCAAAATGAAATTCGTACACTACAACAACTATGTCGCCTGCAAGCTAGAACAAGCTAAGCATATTTAGCCGCAAGCTACTTTTGCCTCGACAACTGCAAATCCTAAGCCATTCTAATCTCTGTGTGGGAAATCCTCCCCTGAGCACTTTTCACAATCTTGTCGTCCGTCAGGGTTAAGCTGTTCTCAGCTCAGCTAAAGACGTCGTGCCGTCGTTGCTCTTCATTAATATTTATTAGATTACGACGCTCAGCAAGTAGCACCCCTCACTCCACTATTTGAGGGCCGCCTTAGCGCATTGGCATCTTGAGCTAACGAGCTTCCTGGGGGAATAATAATTATATGTTGTAATAATTGCTATAATGATAGGCCACGAAATGATGGCCAGGCGCAGCGCAGCAGCCTCGGTGTGATCGAGCTTCGAGAAATACTTCCCTATTCCATTTTTTCGTTGAATAGCTAAGAAGGAGCTCCCAATGAATCCTGTGGAGAAGGTAGCACATCTTCTGGAGACCACTCAATACATTCCTTATAAAATGGCCCTCCAAGACCCGGTGGGACCAAAACTGATGTGCGGTACGATAGCTATAACCGCTGCTGCGTGCTTGAAAAGGTGAAATCCCATGCAGTTCTATCAAGCCTTTTCCTACCACTACCGTTAGCCATCATCCAAGGGAAGATGGAAGAAAGAAGAAGAAGAGAAAGAGAAAGAAAAAGAGAAATACACCTAATACTTACCAAAATAGTCATATACGGGTCCACAAGGTTAGCCTAACTTATCCTAGGCTCCAATGTACCGTCCCAATGCAGTGGAAATGGCTCCCTTCGGAAGTCCTCTTTTATTTATACGTTTTCTGCCGTGGACGGCTTCATGGAAGAGCATTTTGGAAGGTGTGTGGACCAAG